AAAAAAAAAACCTGAAATACATTGCCCATGTAACTACACCTCCTAACTCTGCCCAAAAAAACAGATTTTGTTGTGATCTAACAAGCCATATACTTTACAAGTTCTGGGTGGAATAGGTCAACAGTGAGAGGGCTTGCCTCTCAAAGTTATAATATGTTCAATTCCCAAACAAGATGTCATAAGTAGATTAGGTTTGTTCTTTGGTTTGGACCTTGTTGCTGTTGTTAAACCAATCATTAATTGTATTCTTTATCAATAACTGGTCTGTCTTAATCAACTTACTAGGAGTGACTGCTGAAGATGAATTAGTAAGATAATTTCCGAATAACATATGTTCAAGAGATTGCACCTCTTCCATTTCATGCTCCATAGGGTAATAGAGCTAAAAGACAAACATGGAAAGAAAATTTGAAACCAGTCAATACTAAGCCTTCTAAAAAGCATAATCTTTTTAGAATATAACTTTATGCCTTTCTTGAGTTTTAGCTTGTGAAAAGGCATTAAAGTTATACTGTGTTCATTAAATTTCATAAATGTAACCATAAGTCACATGAGTCACAGTCTAACCTATATTAACTCAAGTAAACCAAACAAACTAATAAAATAATGCTTTAAATGTTGTAATATGCCATTACCACATGTACCTGTACATCATAATCTTCTCTGTTGTTGACAAGGAGTGGACCCCCTGAAGTTAATACATGATAAGTAAGTAATAGAAACAAAATATACATAATACATTATTTTAACTGTCAAATTTATCATTTTATTTTTTATTCTTGTTTTTATTTTTTACATATCACACATAAGATTACAAAATTTGGTAAAAAAAGAAAAATTCTTAAAAAATAGAAATAATATCAATAATAAAATACTAACAATAACAGATTAGTATCGTGAGAAAACCTAATACAAAGTATTTGGTTGACCAGTAAAAATTACAATTATATCATATTTTCATGACACACTTCCCAAAGGTCCATGTGAAGGTTTTCAATCACCTAAATGCAATCACAGGTCTGGAAATCCATAATGTTAAGTGCATTACAGCAACCAAGCAGAACAGGTGACTAAATACATGTAGTTTCCTCATATTTTATTTAGTCATGTTTCTCTTCTCTCATCATATTTTTATCAAGCATAGAATCATGTTTGAGGATCAGGTTTTAGGCTGCATATAAAGAGGTTTTAGGAAATTGTGTTTCCTGAAAAGTCAAACTGCAGTGAGTGTCAATCAAAGACAATGTGCAAAAAGTTGAAGTAACATACCATCATTAGATGAATCTATGCCTGAGTCATAGGTATCTGAAGAACGTCCCTGTAAAATAAAATTTTGAAGCATTCAGTAAAATGTGCATTCATTTTGGTTAAAAAATGTAGCACACTCTGTTGGCTTTTTTTTAAATAATTCTAAATGAAAATCATCATCATCATCACCACCCCCTTAATCCGCACAATCATTATGGAATCGATTTTCACAAAAAAGGCAGTTACATTCTCCCACAACAATAAAACTAGTTGCTACCCTGAAATCAAGGATAATATATTCTGCCAACATTACAACTTCACGACGGTTTAAGTGTGTCTTTCTGAAATGAGGGTAGCCGCTGGCATTTTTACCACAAGGACTCAAAGCTGCATTTCCGAGAGCCGTTCGCTCTCGTTCAGCCTTTATTCGATGAGAGTAAGGAGGCTGTTGATGGAAGAACTTGCGACTTTTGGGCAGAGAAGCTATTATTCTTTTTCAAAAGGCTTTAACAAAGCGGGCTAATTGTGTGGCATCAAATTAGTATCTATTTGTTTATTTAATTCGCATTTAACAAAAATATCACCTTGTGTTTTTCTGCAACTGAACGCTTCACACTAAAATAACGATTTCACTTTCGGTTTAGTGTTGAGAAGCATTTCAAAAGCTTTAAAACGAGCCCTTAAACGAAACTTTTGGTTGAGGTAAAGCAGAGAAACGGATTTTTGCAGCTGCTTAGCATATTTTCACTCGTGACCACGAATGTCAACACAACGGCTTTTCCTATGTTCCGATTCGCAAATGCCAATCAGTTTACTTTTTGTGTATGAGGTTTCTTTACCAACACTGGAATCTTCAGTAAGCTTTCCAATGTAAAAAAGAGAAAGGGAATTTTTTTCAATGGGAACTAACATTTAATTCAATGTCAACAAGCTGCTGCCGTTTCTCTGTGTTACGGGTTTTGCCGCCTTTTTTTGTCAGTGGGCCCTGGGACCCACTCGGTCAGTTTTATTTCCCAGGCCTGTTCGGTTCACAGCTCGTGTGTTGCGTTTTTTAGTTTCGGTAGGTTTCACCTTAATTTATCTTCTCAGTTCAACATTCATCGCAGCACCATCCATGTAAGTTTTCATCGTTCCGTTATTTATTGTTTTTGCCTTGTCGTATTTTCTGTTTTCGTTTCATCGTTTTCTGTATTTTATTTACATGTAGTTTCACCATTCGACACTGAAGGAAAATAAACCATCGATTTGTATACTCTTCATGTCTCGGTTGAACACTACGCTAAGAACGCGACAGTGAAAATAGATGGCTTGGTAATCAGCTGCCCCTTTTGGAGTTCGGAGTAGATTGGAACATTTAATTCAGGTACGCAACTGTGAATTCAATTTACGAAGCTTGTATTCGCCANAGAACCACATTGAGCAAAGCAAAATCAGCACAGTTTCATGATCAGTTGGAGGACGACTTCACGTCACGCAAATCTCGACTCTCGTCAAGTACATCATCGTCACGCTCGTCAGCTAGTTCTGCGAGAACAAAAGCATTAGTAGAAGCTGCCACTGCTAAAAAACAAGCAGAATATGACCCAAAAATGGCAGAAAAGGAACTTGAAAGGAGACAACGCTAGGCTGAAGAAGAGCGCCTCCGGGAAGAACGTCGCGCCAAATAGGATCAAGACATGGCAGTATTAGCCGCCGAAAAGCTTGCCGCTATAGCTGATGCCAAACTCACTGCCATCGAAAGGTCAATGGAAGAAGAAGAAGAAAGGTCTCACCCCCTCTCCCGTGCTAGTACAACTGAAGACACAGGGCGCCGAACTCAAGCATGGGTCAACGAAACCACACACATCACTGACAAGCCTAACGCAATGCCTCCTGAAGTACCTGTAACCTCTGGGTTGAAAAGAAATTATGATGGCAACACCACAGTGCCAATTAACCTTACAATGCCAATGCACAGGTTACCCCAGGAGAGACCCAAGTCTAACCAGTACACACCCCTCTCACAGACACCCAAAACCTCAGGGGAAATCGAATGCTTAGAAGCAATCGTGGCCACTAACAAGCAATTGACTGCCAGCCTAGCGAGACAGAGCCTACCAAAATGTCATCCATATACATTTGGTGGAGATGCTACCTTATTCCACCCATGGAAAAGTGCGTTCAAGGCGATGCTACAAAATGCCAACATATCCCCCGACCAGGAGATTAACTATCTGCAACAGTACACTAAGGGCGACCCACAGAAGTTGGTGGATAGTTACCGCAAGAGACAGTACAGAGAACCCACCTCCCTCTTACAAGAAGCTTGGTCTGAACTCGAAAAACGGTTCAGAAATTCAGCAGTTATCACCAACACCTTACTGAAGAAACTGAGTGGAGCAGCAAAATTCAGTGAAAGGGAAGCGGAGAAACTACAGGTGTTCGCTGATACTTGCGCCAACGAAGACAGCCAAATGGATTTTCTCCCTGGTCTTGCCTGCTTGAACTATCCATATGCCATTAA